GGCCTCTAGGGCCCTGGCATGGTCCTGCACGGCCTGGATCAAAATATATTGGCAGTTGTGTTCTCCAATCTGGATGCAGTCCTCACACAGCCATTGGTTGCCACACTTAGGGCGCACGCTGGAACAACCCCCACGCACTGGGCGCCTGCAAGGCCCCCCCGTTTTGCTGGCTTTCCCAGGCACCTGTTTTCCGCCTGGGGCGGGCAACCAGGGCCCTGGTTCCAGCGCGCCCCCCGCGTTGAGATGGCACTGGTGCTCCTCGAAGTCGATCGGGCGCCAGCTCGCGGGATCTTGGGCCGCCCCCGGCTCGAAGCCGATGACCGAGGGCGAACGCGCACGCTCTCCGGTGGCTTGGCCACGTCGCGGAGCGCCTCATCCCGTCCATCCTGCGCAATCAATTCCGGGAGTGTGACTAGGGGGCCACGCGGGTCGTCATCCCCAGCTACCGCGGGGGCCGACGGCTGCCAATCGCCTGGGGCGGCGGCAGACCGATGGAACCCCTCCTGAAGCGGGGAAGCATTCAAATCGTAATCTTCGTTCCTGTGCATTTTATGCTGAGGAGTTGGCGTTCGGCCCGTGGACTTCCGGTCATGCTTGGCATGTTGTTGGGAACTCGATGCAACCTCTGCCGCCTGGGACGAAGCCTCAGCGATTGGGAGAACGGGGGACGGTATTGGTGTCCCCCATGGCTCGTGCACCGCTGGGACCTCGCGGACTGGGTCGCTGGTCGTGGTGTCTAGATCTGGTTCCGCAAATGCCTCCCCAAGAGCTTCCAAGTGATCGTAATCAACGGTCTCCTGTCCTGGGGATGACCTTCCGTCTTGGACGGGGCAGTCGGCAGCGTTCAACGACGGCAAAACTCGGCTTGGGGACATTTCATACGCGGCATACTCCATGATACCCTCCATAGAGTTGACCTCGTCTTAGTCGTCAAGCTGTTCGTCGCTGTCTTGACCGGGTTGCCCGTTCAAGGCCATCGGGGCGGGATGAGTCCCGGGCGGTCGATCCCAACCGTCTGGGACGGCTGGGAGCATACCGCTCGACTCGCCCACGACTCGCGGCCGGCTGGCTGGGCCAGCGGCCGACTCGATAGAATGTACGGCTATCGGGCTGGAATGCGCCGTTTCTGGGGACTCAGCAATCCAAGATGAGAAAGCTCCACGCCTGGCGTTCACGGCTGGGCCGTTCCGCCTCATCGGGCTCGGGGTCTGATCACGTTCTCTGATCTGAGCGCGAGTGGGAGAATCGTCGGCAGATAAATCTATGACTTCTCCATCAACTCCTCCATGATAAACCCGACTGAGGTTAGAAGAGGGAAGAGAGCGGCCCTCCCCGGGGCCGCTGTCCTGTTGGTCTTGCCCGTCTTGATGCACGTGGTGTAATATCGCGGGCAATTCGGCTTTCTCATCATAGCTCAATCCCCTAGCGACTTGGTCGCGGGCTTCGGCTGATAACCAGTCTTTCCCCTGGGAATCGGGGTAAGATGTCAAAGGAACTAAGGTCTCGTGATCAATGCGTTCTGTGGTAGAGGTTTTGGGGCAAGGCATGATTGAGACAATGGATAAACCGTATGGCAAATGATACCAAGCACTGGAAGGGAGGGGGACCGGCCGGCCGACGACCGACGACGCGCGCAGGCCGCGGGCAGGCGCGCTCCTATTCTGGCTTGATATGCAAACAGCTGCAGAACAGTGCCGCAGTAATGTCAAGGTGAGGCAAGGCAGGCGGCAGGAGAGGCAACTAGAAGATGAGGCGAAGAGGAGCATATTAACTTCCTCCCCCCACCCCCCTCCATGCGCGGCAGGAGCGAAACGATTGGCTGGGGCAACGCGCGTGGGTGGAATGAGACGCGGCGCGCTTCGCGCGCTGGACAGGTTGTCGTCGACGATGCAACATGAGAGGCCAGAACGGGGCGCGGCGTACATCGCGCGCGGTCTTGTTTCTCGTCGACGTTGCTCAACACGCGGCAAGGATAGGACGCAACTCGTGTCGCGCGCTGAACATCTAGCCGCCCGCGATGCAAGATGATCGACAGGCGTCGGACGCGCCGCATTTGCTTCTATGTTGCGGGAGGGCGGGTCGGAGTGGACGGAGCCCCCTGGCTCGTTCGAGCTGGCTGACTTGAACCCCCCCCTACCCTCTTCCCTGGACCTGGACGGGGATTCAGCGGGTAGTTGGGGCGTCCAAAACGGCCTCTGCGAGAAGCCAGAATCATTGGTTGTACGAAGGTTCTGGCCACATGTTGGCCTCCTGGGGGAGGGGGCGGTCTAATTCGGGAACTCCCCTCCTCTGATCGATCTCACCCAAGATGGCCCAAAGATGGCCCCCAAGGGTGCCCCAAAAGGGCCCCAAGAGGTGGCCAGGAGGACCCAAGAGGCCCCCAAGGGGCACCCAGGATGCCCCCAAGATGCTCCCAAGAGACCCCCAAAAGGCCCCAAGATGCCCCAAGAGGTCCCCCAGGGGCACCCAAGACGCTCCAAGAGGCCTCGGCGAAAATGTCATTGAGTTTACTAAGATTTTGGCCACACTTTGGCCTCCATGTGGGGGGGCACTGATTCAGATGACTCCAAGAGCGCCTGGGAGAGCCCAAGATGACCTCCACGATGGCTCAAGATATCCCAAGATGCCTCAAGATGGCTCCCACAATGCTCCCAAAAGCCCCAAAGACCGCTCCAAGACGGCTCCCCCAGGAGGCCCCGCAGAGGCCATCATCCTTCCAAAACCTTCGGAAAATCAATGTGTTTCGCTTTCCGATGGCCATCCGATGGCCCTCTGGCTCCGATGGCTTTTCGCTTCCGATGGTCACCCGAGGCCTCAAGATGACTCCAAGATGGCCCAAGAGGGCTCCAAGAGAGGCTCAAGAGAGCCCCAAGACGTTCCTAAGAGCGCCCAAGAGCTCTCCAAGAGCGCCCCAAGAGCGCCCCAAGCGGCGACTGTTTGGGCTTCCGAGGGGCAGCGCCAATTAATGTTCCTCTCTTGTTTGATCGATGTCCTCCAAGATGGCCCCAAGAGCGCTCCCAAGGCTCCAAGAGCGCTTCAAGAGGACCCCTAGAGGCACCCAGGAGGCCCCAGGAGGCCCCAACAGGCGCCCAAGAGGCCTCCAAGAGGCTCCCAAGAGACACCCAAGAGGCCCCAATAAGCTCTCCGAGGCACCCAAGACGCTCTAAGAGGCGTCCGGGACCGCCAAGAGGCCCCCAAGACGCTCCAAACAACGTGTGTAGCAGCTGCACGGATGGAGTGTGGCTCCCTTTCAAGATAAGGCGTTCGCTTGGGATTTCCGGGATGGATGCTCATGCTGATGCAGCAGTTACAGTTATCGGAGGTGAGAGGGTGAGATCGGAGAGCCCCCTACCCGGAAATCGGTTTCGGTTTCGTGTTCGTGCGTGCCGCGCGTGCGTGCGAGGCGCAGCTGCGCGGGCGGGCGAAAGGAAAGTCTCCTAAGGCTGAGGCGCGGCCAGACCAAATGATTCCCCTCCGGCAACCGGTGCCGCGCGGTGCCGCGCGGTGTCCCGCCGGTGTCCCGCTGTGGCTGAGGCGCGGCCGGACCAAATGATTCCCTTCCGGCAACCGGTGCCGCGCGGTGTCCCGCCGGTGTCCCGCTGTGGCTGAGGCGCGGCCGGACCAAATGATTCCCTTCCGGCGTCCGGTGCCGCGCGGTGTCCCGCCGGTGTCCCGTCGGTGTCCCGAAGATGATGATGATGATGATGATGATGATGATGATGATGATGATGATGATGCTGATGATGTCGATGATGTCGATGGTGTTGATGATGATGGTGGTGATGGTGGTGATGATAATGGTGTCCCGATGATGAGGATGTTGACGATGTTGATTGTGATAATTATAATGATGATGGTGATGGTGGTGGTGATGATGGTGCCCCGATGATGATGATGTTGATGATGATGTTGCTGATGATAGTGGTGTCCCGATGATGATGCTGTTGATGATCATGATGGTCTTGATGATGATGGGATGATGGTGATATGATGATGAAAAGATGATGATGGTGCCCCGATGATGATGAGGTTGAGGTTGATGATGATGCTGTTGATGATGATGGTGAAGATGATGGTTTCCCGATGAAGATGATAATGACGAGGATAGTGTCCCGATGATGATGATGTTGATGATGAGGATAATGATGTGATGATGAGTTTGATGATGGTGGCCCGATGATGGCGATGATGATGATGCTGATGTTTAGATGATGGTGTCCCGATGATGATGATGATGCTGATGGTGACGATGATGGTGACGATGATGGGGTCCCGATTATGATGATGATGTTGATGATGATGATGCTGTTGCTGATGATGATGGTGTCCCGATGATGATGATGATGATGATGATGATGATGATGATGATGATGATGATGATGATGTTGATGATGTTATTCATGATGATGATGATGATGATGATGAGATGATGGTGATGATGATAATGGTGGTGTTCCGATGATGGTGATGATGATGATGGTGTCCCGATGATGATGTTGATGATGATGGTGACGATGATGGTGTCCCCATGATGATGGTGGTGATGATGATGTTGATGATGGTGACGAGGTGATGATGGTGGTGGTGTCCCGGTGATGATGATGATGATGATGTTGGTGACGTTGATGACGATGATGTTGATGATGATGATGACATTGATTGTGAGATCGATTGTGATATCGATAGTGAGATCGATAGTGAGACCGAATGTGAGATCGATTGTGAGATCGACAGTGAGATCGATAGTGAGATCGATTGTGAGATCGATAGTCTGATCGATTGTGAGATCGATCGAATGTAATAGACCGAGTGAGATCGATTGTGAGATCGATCGAGTGAGATCGATCGAGCGAGACCGATAGTGAGATCGATGGTGAGACGATCGAGTGAGACGTTGGTTCCTCCCCCCCCCGAACCTCCTCATCACCCGAAGGGTGGTCGTATAGGTAACACAGGGTGTGTGGGGAGGGGGCGGTCCTTTCTCAAAACGGTGCTATCGCTAGACACCTCGCTGAACTGCCTGATCATGCAATCATGCATTTTCTCATTCCGGATGGGGCGCTGGAAGGACGCAAGGCGCTCCTCTATGACAACGGGGCTCTCGGCTGAGGGCCGCCGCCCTTCCAGCCGCCCGCAATCTCAAAGGCCGCGCGCGCCTTTCTGCGGCGTGCGGCGGTGGCCGCCGCGGGCGGCGCGCCCCACGCGAGGCGCCTGCCCGCGGAAAAATACCCGGCACGCCGCGCCGCGCGCCGTTCTGCCCATCGGGGGCGGGGGGAAAGGGGGGCCCAAGGCACGCCGAACCAGCCCGGCTGGGGGGCCGAGCAGAGGTGCTTCTGCGCGGCGACGGCAGGGGGAAAGCGGGGGAGGGGGAAGAGGGGACGGGGTGGGCAAGAAAGAAGGGGGGATGAGGCGCTGGGAATGCAGGAGAATACACCATTAGCGGCGACGGGAGACGCGGGAAAGGAGGGGACGGGGAAGAAGAGATGGGAGGAGGATGGAAGGACGGAGGGAAGGGAAGCGGTAAGAGAGGAGGCGGGAAGCGACGGAAAAGGAGAGATACGTGGAGGGGGATGAGGAAGTCGAGGATGAATATTCGAAAGGCAGCGGAAGGAATTGAGCAGGGGCGAGGGGTCATGGACAGAGTTTCTCGAAGTGCCAAGGGGGTGGGTGGGTGGGGGTAACGCGGGGACGAGTAGATGGATGTCTTTGTTCATGCCGGCGGGGTCGTCGAAGGTTTGCAGCGATGGCGGCTCTTGCGGATTCGGAGCAGCACACACCCAAATCAAAAAACAGCCTCGGGCACATTTGCCAAGCAGAACGGCGAACCAGGCCATTCAGACCCAGGAGCCCAAAGCCTCCTCCGCAGTGCGGCCACATCAAGTCTGGCATCGAGAACGCATTCACCGAAAAACCTAAGCCTCACATGGCCCTGCCCGCAGGACTGCAGCGGCAACCAAATTCGCCGCGTCTGCGACCGCCCAAAGCCGACCAAACCGCGGGCGGGTCTTCGGGTGAACACCAAAACCACCAGTCTGCGTCTCCAGCTGCGAATACCCTTTCGAATGCGCACTGCACGTGGCGCAGAAGACGAAAGCGTCCACGTTGGATAGTCGGCAATTAGCGCAAAGAGCACGCTAGGCATGCGAAGCGCGTCCACGAAGCAATACAACCACCTAAAAAGTACACAAGTATTAAGTCATCCTTTTCGTAACTTACTCAACGATCGCGTCCCCGAAGCCACGATTCTATATGCATTACACAAATGTCGCGTCCTCGAAGCAATACGCCCTCGTAATTTATTCCATGCTCTCGTTTCCAAATCCACACTCCCGAATACATTCAACAATGTTCACGTCCCCGAGGCCACAAAACTATATACATTACTCCGGCGGAAGGACCCCGCATGAAAATCCGTTCGGCAAATCTGGAAATGACCTTCATTGTCGTGCGGGCCCCATAGGGAAGGGGTTCCCGCCTGAGACTTCCTCACACCTCACTCACAGACGAAATCCCCGCGTGCTACGTCCCCCATATCCAGACCTCAGGAGCCCAAAAGTGACGACAATTAGAAGTTCGAGGATGACCCGCTCGGATTAAAAACATGAAGCGCGGGCCCCATAGGGAGGTGGCTCCCGCCTGAGCCTTCCTCACATATCACTCACTGACGAGGCTCCCGCCTGATACTTCCCCCTATGTTCAGGCCTCGGGAGCCCAAACATGGTGACAATTACAGGATCGAGGATGGCCCGCTCGGATTATATATATATATATATGTATATATGTGAATTGCGAGCCCCATAGGGAGAATGCTCCCGCCTGAGACTTCCTCGCAATTCACCCACGGACGAACCTCCCGCCTGATACTTCCCCCAGATCCAGGCCCCAGGAACCCAACAGTGACAACACTTACAGGTTCGAGGATGACACGCTCGGAATAAAACAATACCCTCTGACGTAACCAGCCCTGTCTATACATGTGGCGATTACGCTCAGGACCACCCAATGCTGACTGGCATTCTGAAGGACCCGCAGAGCGCAAGAAGAGCACCCGAGAGTGATTTCAGAAGAGCGCAGCAAGAGAGGAACGGCACCTATACAAAATGGAAACATAGGGGCGTGGAAAGAAACGCGTATGACGTACCTCCGAATGATCCACGTGGGACGTACCTCCGCTGTGCCTCCCAGGAGCCCACGAAAGTGGCGACAATTGCGCAGATCGCAAGCCCCCCAAGGGGCGGCGAAGTCCCGAGGTGATCCGCGTGGGACCAACCTCCGCTGGGCCTCCCAGGAGCCCACGAAAGCGGCACCAATTGCAAAAATCGCAAGCCCCCAGGGGGCGGCGAGGTCACGAGGTGATCCGCGTGGGACCCACCTTCGCTGGGCCTCCCAGGAGCCCACGAAAGCGGCAACAATTGCAAAAATCGCAAGCCCCCCAGGGACGGAGAGGTCCCTAGGTGATTCGCGTGGGACCTAGCTCCGCTGGGCCTCCCAGGAGCCCACGAAAGTGGCGACAGTTACGCAAATCGCAAGCCCCCCCGGGGGGCGGCGAGGTCCCGAGGTGATCCGCGTGGGACCCACCTCCGCTGGGCCTCCCAGGAGCCCACGAAAGTGGCGACAATTGTGCAGATCGCAAGCCCCCAGGGGGCGGCGAGATCCCGAAGTGATCCGCGTGGGACCCAAACCTCCCAGGAGCCCACGACAATGGCAACACTTGCGCAGATGGCAAGCCCCCCAAGGGGCGGCGAGGTCCCGAGGTGATCCGCGTAGGACCCACCTCCGCTGGGCCTCCCAGGAGCCCACGAACGTGGCGACAATTGCGCATATCGCAAGCCTCCGAGGGGGCGGCGAGGTCACGAGGTGATCCGCGTGGGACGTACCTCCGCTGGGCCTCCCAGGAGCCCACGACAATGGCAACACTTGCGCAGATCGCAACCACCAGGGCACCGCGAGGTCACGAGGTGATCCGCGTAGGGCCCACCGCCGCTGGGCCTGCCAGGCGCCCACGAAAGTGGCGACTATTGCGCAGATCGCAGCCCCGAAAGCACCGCGAGGTCTCGAAGTGATCCGCGTGGAACCCACCCCCGCTTGGCCTCCCAGGAGCCCACGAAAATGGCGACAATTGCGCAGATCGCAACCCCCAATGCACCGCGAGGTCCCGAGGTGATCCGCGTGGGACCCACCTCCGCTGGGCCTCCCAGGAAACCACGAAAATGGCGACAATTGCGCACATCGCAGCCCCCAAGGCACCGCGAGGTTCCGAGGTGATCCGCGTGGGACGTACCTCCGCTGGGCCTCCCAGGAGCCCACGAAAGTGGCGACCCGCTGGGCCTCCCAAGAACCCACGAAAGTGGCGACAATTGCGCAGATCGCACCCCCCAGGGCACCGCGAGGTCTCGAGGTGATCCGCGTGGGACCCACCTCCGCTGGGCCTCCCAGGAGCCCACGAAAGTGGCGACTATTGCGCAGATCGCAGCCCCCAGGGCACTGCGAGGTCTCGAGGTGATCCGCGTGGGACCCACCTCCGCTGGGCCTCCCAGGAGCCCACGAAAGTGGCGACAATTGCGCAGATCGCAAGCCCCCAAGGCACTGCGAGGTCTCGAGGTGATCCGCGTGGGACCCACCTCCGCTGGGCCTCCCAGGAGACCACGAAAGTGGCGACAATTGCGCAGATCGCAGCCCGCAAGGCACCGCGAGGTCTCGAGGTGATCCGCGTGGGACCCACCTCTGCTGGGCCTCCCAGGAGCCCACGAGAATGGCGACAATTGCGCAGATCGCACCCCCCAAGCACCGCGAGGTCCCGAGGTGATCCGCGTGAACCCACCTCCGCTGGGCCTCCCAGGAACCCACGAAAGCGGCAACAATTGCGAAGATCGCAGCCCCCAGGGCACCGCGAGGTCTCGAGGTGATCCGCGTGGGACCCACCTCCGCTGGGCTTCCAAGGAGCCCACGAACGTGGCGACAGTTGCGCAGATCGCAGCCCGACGGCACGAGAGAAGAGGAGAGGGGAACACAGGAGACAGGAGAGGAGGAGCGGAGGAGGGGGGAGGAGGAGAAGGAGGACGGGGCGACCACACTGCTCTATTCAAAACGAGTACCCAACCATAGAAGGGTTGAGAATTAAAAGTGCGGGCCCCATAAGGAGAGGGCTCCCACCTGAGACTTCCTCGCAAGTCACTCACGGACGAGCCTCCCGCCTGATACTTCCCCAATATTCAGGCCTCGGGAACCCAACAATGACGACACTTACAAGTTCGATGATGACCCGCTCGGATTGAAAAACAAAGTATCCCGGCAAAGCAACCTAACAGCGATGTGTATAAGCATCTATGGAACCATTCCCTTTAATATTCAGGTGATAATCCAGTTCTAGAATTCTGCTGTTCTCGCAGTCGCAGTCGCATTCGCAATGACAGTCGCAGTGGCAACGGCCTTAGGATCCAATGGAATCCTAAGGATTCCTTGGGATTCCTAAGGCATCCTTAGGCATCCATAGGAATCCGTAGGAAACCTTAGGAATCCTTAGGAATCCTTATTCCTAGGGATTCCCAGGGATTCCTAAGGATTCCTGAGGAATCCTAAGAATTCCTAAGGATTCCTAAGGATTCCTGAGGATGATCAACTCTGCCTACGGATTCCTAAGGTCAGCCTACGGATTCCTAAGGATTCCTAGGGATTCCTATGTATTCCTACGGATGCCTCAGCCTGCCTCAGTTTCAGCCTCAGACTCAGCCTGCCTCGGCTTGCCTCAGCCTCAGCCTCAGCCTGCCTCGGCCTCAGCCTCAGCCTGCCTCAGCCTCAGCCTCAGCCTGCCTCGGCCTCAGCCTGCGTCAGCCTCAGCCTCAGCCTGCCTCAGCCTCAGCCTCAGCCTGCCTCGGCCTCAGCCTGCCTCAGCCTCCCCTCCCCTCCCCTTCCCCCCTCCCCCCATTCAGCCTCACCTTGTCTCAGCTTCGGCCTGCCTCGGCCTCAGCCTCAGCCTCAGTCTCAGCCTCAGCCTGTCTCGGCCTGAGCCTGCCTCGGCCTCAGCCTCAGCCTGCCTCAGCCTCAGCCTGCCTCAGCCTCAGCCTCAGCCTGTCTCGGCCTCCGTCTGCCTCAGCATCAGCCTCAGCCTCAGCCTCAACCTGCCTCGGCTTGCCTCGGCCTCAGCCTCAGCCTGCCTCGGCCTCAGCCTCAGCCTGCCTCAGCCGCAGCTTGCCTCAGCCTCAGCCACAGCCACAGCCTCAGCCTCAGCCTGCCTCAGCCTCAGCCTCAGCCGCAGCCTCAGCCTCAGCCTGCCTCAGCCTCAGTCTCAGCCTGCCTCAGCCTGCCTCAGCCTCAGCCTGCCTCAGCATCAGCCTCAGCCTGCCTCGGCCTCAGCCTGCGTCGGCCTCAGCCTCAACCTGCCTCAGCCTCAGCCTGCCCCAGCCTCAGCCTTAGCCTGCATCGGCGTGCCTCAGCCTCAGCCTCAGCCTGCCTCGGCCTCAACGATCCCACTCCAAGCCCGTCCCGTGGCGCCAGTGTGGGGGCTGACCAACTGTTTGCATCGACCTCACGCTCGACTCACGACTCGAATGCGCACGGCACGCTGTGAGACGGTCACTGCCTGCTTGAAGGTCCTCGACGACTGCTTGAACTCCCCACCGAGCGCTGGGCAGCGTCAATCGGCTAGCCTACTCCTTGGGACACTTCGCGATGTTCGTCATCAACAGGCCGCTGCCGTCACTCGCCATAAGCACACCAGCCCAACACCCTCGTCGCAGACGCCACAAGGCCGCGCTGACACGAACGGCCGACCATCTGCGTGTGGATGTCGTCGACCACGTTGCCCGAGTCCGCCGTGCCCAGGGCACAGATGCCGTCCAAGCGAGGGAGGAAAAACAGACGCATGTCGAGGCCAGCGAAGTTAAAAGCATCAGCCTGGTCTCGCGATGGAGTGCAGTAATCTGATCAGTCCAGGGCGATACCGCCAACCACAGCCAGCCTGGGCAGGACGATCAGGAGGACGATGAGAAGCCGCATGAGCTTCAGACAGACGCTGTGCTGCGCCGCGAGTTTGACCTGGAGCCGCCACGAGATGCACCCGTGGCCATCTTGCAACTCCGATGGCCAGCTCAGCGCTGGCCGCCTGGGGCCAGGATGCAGCGCTCTCGCAGCTCCTCCCCGGCCGAACCGCAGATGTCAGAACGCTTATCTCGAAGGAAGGAAGTGGCGCGATGCAGGAGATAGGGGCGAGGGAAAAGGGGGGAGGCCGAGGAGGGAGTGCGAAGGCACATCCGACCCACGAGGGTGGGCGCCGAATCGCGGGGCGAAGGATTCCCTCCTCTCTCGTCCTCACATGCTCCCTCTCATTACCTACTTTACGACCTCATTCGCGCGAAATCCCCCCGCGCCGCGCGCGATGACGGACGGCATCGCGCCAAAGCAAGCCGCCGCTCTACGCGTGGTCTCCCCTGGCCGGGTGGCCAGTGCGTAAACCAGACAGAGAGAACGAGTCAAAGAAGGACAGTACTCCTCTCCCGGTCCCACTTTTCCTGTTCATAACCTGCCTCCTACCCCGAAGCCGCCTCACCTAGGGACGGACGAAAGGGGAGCATAACAAAAGAAATGTGTGAACGAAACATCTCACGTAACCGGCGTTCCCGGCGCCTCCTGGAGCTAAAACATCGAAGGAAGCGCCCAGCGGCGGGGCCGAAGCCAGCTGCACGTAGCCATGGTGCAACTACCCATTGATCCGAATTCCTACATCGGCACGAGAGAAGCAACAGCAGGAAAAAGGAGAAAGGATATGAGGAGACGCGGGACGATGATCCTCCTCCCTCACCTCCTCTTGAACCTCTTCATAAGTAATCCGACTCTGCATCCTGAACCTCCACCACTGCGAAGGTCGAGAGGGAGCTGGCTGAGGGGGGGAGGTAATGACCTGGCATCGGCGATACATCGCCAATAGATCAGCGATAGTCCCCCGATAGTGATACCGAATGTTCCCACGCGGTATTGGGAGCCAAGAGTCCGATTGGCGACGTTTGGGCGATTGATTGATTGTCGATGCCTCCCCCCCTGGGGACAGTTCCCCCCCTGACGTTGCCACTGAATCACGGCACCACCTCGTCCTCGACGCGCCCGTCCCTCCCCCCGCCGGCAAGGCCACGGACAGCAGGGAGGTCAGAGCGCGCGACGCCAGTGTGCGGCCTCACTTGACGTCAAAGCCCTCGGCTCTCAGACACTGCTTGTGCGCCTCGATGAAGCCCTGCGGCGGCTGGCGTCGTGCCCTGGCGCGTTTTGTGGATGCGTAAGACTTGAGGGGGCTCGCAAACTCCGGATGGGTGGCCATCGAATGGCATAGCCTGGCGAAGAACTTAACCTTATGCACTTGTGAATGCCGCGGTTGTGGGTCACGTTTTCCGTCGAGCTCCCTCTGGGTCCACGACACGCTGTGCGTGCTGGGCGGGGGAACCGCATGCGAGCTCCGCCGCTGAGACCTTCGGTGGAACGCCCTCTGGGGCCACGAAACGCAATACTGGACGGGGGAACCGCATGCGAGCCCCGCCAGAAGGACCTTCGATTGGGCTCCGTATGGGGCCAACAAGCGCTGTACTGGGCGCAGGATCCGCATACGCGTTCCGCCACTGGGACCTTCGGTGGACTTCCCTCTCAAGCCACGAAACGCTGCACTGGGTGGGGGAACCGCATGCGGACTGCGCCTCTGGTGCCTTCGGTGGAGCTCCCCATGGGGCCATGAAGCGCTGTGCTGGGTGGGGGAGCCGCAAACGCACTGCGCCAGTGGGACCTTCGGTCGAGCTCCCTCCGAGAACACGAAACGCTGTGCTGGGTGGGGGTGCCGCATGCGCACTGCGCCGCTGGGACCTTCGGTGGAAATCCTTATGGGGCACGAGACGGTGCACGAGGTGGGGGAACCGCGTGCGGACTGCGCCGCTGGAACCTCCGGTGCACCTTTTCACTGGGGCCACGAAGCGTTGTACTGGGCGGGGGAGGCGCATGCGCACTGCGCCACTGGGACCTTCGGTGGAGCTCCCTACGGGGCCTTGACACGCCGCACTGGGTGGGGGAAACTCATGCGGACTGCGCCGCTGGGACTTTGGTGAAGCTCCCTACGGGGCCACGAAGCGTTGCACCGGGTGGGGTAACTGCATGCGGACTGCGCCACTGGGACCTTCGGTGAAGCTCCCTCTGGGGCCACGAAACTTTGTACTGTGTGGGGGAACCGCATGCGGACTGCGCCACTGGGACCTTCGGTCGAGCTCCCTCTCAGGCCACGAAGCGCTGTACTGGGTGGGGGAACCACATGCGGACTGCGCCACTGGGACCTTCGGTGGAGCTCCCTCTGGGGCCACGAATCGTTGTACTGGGTGGGGGGCAACCGCATGCGGACTGCGCCACTGGGACTTTCGGTGGAATTCCCTTCGCATCTTTACCCAACTGAAGCCCAACAGGGCTCAACTCATCAGGTAGTACTGGTCGTAATGTTGGGGTCCAGAGTAGCGGATCCAAGGGTATGGCGGAAAGTAAAGGTTCGAATGTCCGTTAAGCAGTGTGGAAAGGAAATATGCGCTGCATAAGCAAAGCGCGCGCGGGGCACGCGCGCGTCCTTTTCCAATCCGAAATTCGCCGACCCAACGGGCCAGAGGCGTGCTAAGATCACCGGTAACTGGTGAACAATATTTCTGGTTCGCGCGCGCGGAGCGGCCCCTGGGGGTCCCTGGATCAAAAGTACCCCGGGCGGAGCCCGGGACACGCCCGGGACACGCCCGGGACACGCTCGGGACACTCCCCCAGATCCTCCAGGATCGCCCCAAGAGGGCCCCAAGAGGCCCCCAACACAATCCAAGAGAGGTCCGAGACGCCCGAAGATCGCTCCACGGCGCCCAAGATGGCCTCCAGACGGCCCAAAAAATCTCCAAGATGACCCAACAAGCCTCCAAGATGCCCCAAGAGGCCTCCAGGAGCACTCCCAAAAGGGCCCCAAGAGGCAAAAATCACTGTTTTTTTTCGGTTCCCCGACGCCCCTGAACGGCTCAAGAGGCCTCCAAGATCGCCCCAAGAGGGCCCAAGAGGCCCTCAAAAGGGCCCCAAGACGGCCCAAGACGGCTCCAAGACGGCCCCAGAGGCCTCCAAGACGGCCCAAGAGGGCCCCAAGAACGCCCCCAACACGGTCCAAGAGATGTCCGAGACGCCCAAAGATCGCTCCACGACGCCCAAGATGGCCTCCGGACGGCCCAAGACGTCTCCAAGATGGCCCAAGAAGCCTCCAAGATGCCCCAAAAGGCCTCCAAGAGAACTCCCAAGAGGGCCCCAAGAGGCAAAAAACTGTGCTTTTCCTTTTGGTGTTGGACAGACTTGGGCGTTTCAACCTTTTTCGGTTCCCCGACGCCCCTGAACGGCTCAAGAGGCTTCCAAGATCGCCCCAAGAGGGCCCAAGAGGCCCCCAAGAGGGCCCCAAGACGGCCCAAGACGGCTCCAAGACGGGCCCAGAGGCCTCCAGGACGGCCCAAGAGGGCCCCAAGAACGCCCCCAACACGGTCCAAGAGAGGTCCGAGACGCCCAAAGATCGCTCCACGACGCCCAAGATGGCCTCCGGACGGCCCAAGACGTCTCCAAGATGGCCCAAGAAGCCTCCAAGATGCCCCAAGAGGCCTCCAAGAGAACTCCCAAGAGGGCCCCAAGAGGCAAACAACTGTGCTTTTCCTTTGGTTTTGGACAGATTTGGGCGTTTCAACCTTTTCGGTTCCCCGACGCCCCTAAACGGCTCAAGAGGCCTCCAAGATCGCCCCAAGAGGGCCCAAGAGGCCCCCAAGAGGGCTCCAAGATGGCCCAAGACGGCTCCAAGACGGCCCAAGAGGCCTCCAAGACGGCCCAAGAGGGCCCCAAGAACACTTCAAGAACGCCCCAAGAGGGGGTTCACGAAACAGAATTTCGAGCTCTCGGCCCTTAGAGGCCCCCGGGAGGCCCCAAGACGCCCTCAAAGGCCCCAAGAGGCCCCCAAGAGGCCCTCAAGAGGCTTCAAGAGGCCTCCAAAAGGCCCTCTTGGAGGCCTCCAAAAAACCCTCAGGAGGCCCCCAGGACGCCTCCAAAAACTCCAGCCAGACGCGAGTTGGGAAACGCGTGTCGGGGTGGTCCTCCTCCCCCGCGTTCGGCCTCCAGCCTCGAGCCTCGACCCTCCACTTTGGACGCCCGAAATGGGCACGGAAACAAGGGGCACAATGCCCCACAGCAAATGTTCTCCCGACCCAACAGCGGCCGCTGTTGGGCAGGCGGTCTTCTGTCTCGAATGGACACAGGCCGCGGCGGCGCGGACAGCGAATCCTGTTCAAAATGAACAGGAATTGTTGTTGGGCATTGTACCCATTCTTTCAGTACCCATTTCGGGCGTCCAGATCCACGACGACGACGACGACGCCGGCGGGCGGCGGCGGTGGGCGGCGGCGGCGGCGACGACGACGACGACGACACAGGCGCTCCTCATCGCTCCTCATCCCCCCCCCTCCTTCCTCCTCCTCCTTCTTCTCCACCTCTTCCTCCTCCTCCTCGTCGTCGTCGTCGTCCTCCTCCTCCTCCTCCTCCTCCTCCGGTCCAATTAGAAAAAAGATGGTAAGAGAAACGCCACAAGAAAGTGTTCCTTCACGCCCGTGTCCGCAACGCCAGAGGACATCAGGACGATAACAGAGCCAATGCTAGCATCCGAAGCCCGCCGCCCTCCGAAACCAGGGTTCCCCTATCGCATAAGATGTCTCTTCCCCCGGCTCGAACGGCCCCACAGCGGGGTACCGCGGGTAACGCGCCCCCACGATGGCACCAAAACCGAAAAAAACTGCAAACACCTAGAAGCCTTTATATATATATATATAAACATAACATGTACCGACAACTACACAGCTCCCGACGCCACAGCTCCACGCTGCAAACGACAACTCGGACAGGCGACCACGGTGCGACATTATGGGCCGGCGGAATGAGCGAAGCGATTAAATAACTATGGACAACTATATGTGCAAGCAAGGTTCGATATGTACATAAACGGCGGCAGGGAACGCATGGCAAAGACTCCCCCCGCGGCGGCCCGGCCGCAGCGGCCGGCCGGGGCCGACGGAGCACCATCAGGACCTCACGTTCCCGACGGCGCCGAATTCGGATAGGCGCGGGTGCGAGGCTCTCATGGCCGCCAGCAGCCCAGCCTGCCACGCGGTGTGCACCATACGGCCATGGGCCGAGGGCGTCGGATAGGCGCGGGCGCGAGGCTCTCACAGCCGCCAGCAGCCCCGCCGGCCACGTGTTGTACACCATACGGCCATGGGCCGAGGGTGTATGCGCCTGCACCGGCGTAGCCACCAGAGCGCCATGGGCGCATGGACGTCTGGACCTTACCAGTGCCATCCGCCGTCGCGGCGCCAGTGATCGCGGTAGTCGTAGCGGCGATCTACCCAGCTGTCGTAACCGCCCTTGCCGCGGTCATCTTTGCCCGGTCCTTTGCTTCCGGCACGGCTGGAGGTGCCCCTCCACGCACTCCAGGCGCGGTCAATGGGGCGTCGGCATTGCCTCCGCGCGCGCTATGGGCGCTGGTCGGGCTCGGGGTGACCTGCTGGGAAGATGACGACGCAGCGCCATTTTGCCCGGACTGGCGGATGTCTGTGTAATGGCACGGACGTGCCGAGGGAGGGGATGCTGTGCGACTGCCCCCCTTCTCTCGGGGTCGCTTGCCCTTGCCCGTCACCGCAGCCTCTGGGGGCGGCAGGGCAGCGCCACTCGACGCGCTGCCCTTGCCGTCGCCCGTGCGCGGGAACGCAGCCGCTCTGAACACAGCCGCTCTGTCCCCTGGTATAGACGAGGGGCTGAGCGGACGCTTGCGGCTGATGGAACGGGCGGCCCGGGCAGTGGTTGCCGGGGGCTGGCGACGCCGTGCCCCTCGTGCCACGGACACGCGCGAGGTGGGGCGCTCCTCGTTTGACTCGGGTGGCGCCACCCCATGCTGCTGCCACGTGTGAAATGCGTATGCCGCAGCCTCGTACACGTGCAGCGGCCACTGCTCGACTGCTGCGTGCTGGGACCTGTCCAGCGTTGCCCGCTGGCCGCGTCTGATCGCTGCGGCGTGCGACTGTAACAAGTACTGCATGCACGCCTCGATCTTGTGCGCGTCAGTGG